CACACACACACACCCATAGACACACGCGCGGGACCCCTCTCTCTCGCCAGTTCCCTTTCCTCGCCTCCCGATGTTCTCTCTCCTGGCCACCAGGGGGTCCGCCCTGCGCACGCCCCTGGTGCGGCTTGTCGCAACCCCCCCGGCCCGGCCGGCTGCCCTCCCGGCTGCCACCGCCATCAACCGGCGTTTTTTCCGTTGGTCGCCCTCCTGCTCGGCTGCCCACCCGGACGACTCTTCCAACGTGTGGGGCTCCGCCGAGGATGAGGATAGCCCATTCAAGATCCTTGGGGTAAATCCCACCTCGGAGATGACGTACGTCGATTCCTGACCCTCTTCTCTCTACCCTTCCCCCTCGCTTCTCCCAATCGCCCCCCCCCCCTCATCCCATGCGTCCCATCCTGTTGACCCGCTGTGCTGCACACATCTCAGAACAATTCGTCGTGCATACTACCGTCTGGCCATCCAGCTCCATCCCGACAAGGCTGTCACTGAGGAGGAGCGCGAAACTGTACGTCACGATTGCCCCTCCTGCTGGGGTGCCGTAGGTGGACACACGCAGATAGACACACACACACACACACACGCACGCACCAGCGTCTAACTACCTCCCTCCCCTTCGGGGCACTGTTTGCCAATGCCAGAATGCCCGGCGCTTTCTCCAGGTGAATGAGGCGTACCGGTCCCTGTCGGAGGCTGCCCGCAGTGGGCGCCTGGCGCATGTGGCCGAGGTGGAGGACGACATGAACGACTCGGACCTGGACGACGGCCTCTTCCGGACTTGGATGCGAGCTGAGGCAGCCGAGTATGCGGCCAACGGTCCGGGCGAACAGGCAGCCGACAACGGGGACTTCCGTCGTGTCGATCCCGCGGCCGAGGCCGGCATGATGCCCGAGGTCGGTGGCGAAAGCTACCTCGGCCCGACGGCCGACAGTGTCAAGAAATTCCGCAAGGCCATGTTCAGGGTCGTCGGCGAGAACTGGGACACTCTCATCCATGACCATGTTGAGCGGGTACGTGCCCTTTCTCCCCTGCCTCCTTGTGTCCCGGCCGCTGGGACCCCTCACGAATGAGGGCATCTCACCGGAAGAGGATGCCCATCCTGGGCAGTGGCCGAGTGTTGACCTTGCTTGTCTGCCGCATTCTCGCCCTCCCCCCCCCCCCCCCCCCCCCATGCATCGCCCCCTCCCCCCCCCCCCCCCCCCCCCCCCCCACCCCCCCCCCCCCCCCCCCCTTCCCGCCCGCTGCGAACCCCCCCACCCCCCTCCCCCTGTGTGTGCTCCTTGCTTGTCTGCCGCATTCTCGCCCTCCCCCACCCCCCCCACCCCCCATGCATCGGGACCTCCGACAGCGTGACCTGCCGGCCGCCTTCGACACGCTCCGGCAAATGTTGGACCATGGTGCCAAGCCGACACGTGTCACTTTTGATCTGCTCATTCGTGGCTGTGTGCTTCTCATGCAGCCGGCCCCCTCCTTCCGCGTGGCTGATCCCCTGACACGGCGCCTGTGGCGTACGGTGGACGAGCTCTTCCAGGCCATGAAGGACTTCAAGCTGACGCCCGATACCTGGACCTACCACGAGATGATCCGAGCCAGGTATGTTTCCCCGGCGGGAAGAGCACCCCAAATGCCGGCGCCGCGCTTGTGCCTCTCTTCCCCCGCGAACGCATGGACCGAATCGCGTCTGACTTGCCTGCCATGCCACCTCTCCAGCGGCAAGTGTGGAAGATTCCGCCGCGCCAAGAAGTACTTCGAGTACATGACAACCAAGCCCTTCCTCCTGCCCAACCGCCACGTCTACAACAGCATGCTGGAGGTTTGCATGCGCACGCACAACTATGACTACGTACGTCCCCCTGACACGGTGGCAGCCCGTGTATCTACACACTCGATCGATAGCTCACCCATCTACATGCACACACACACACACACACACACACACACACACATTTATATATGTGGCGGGAAATCATGCCCTAGGCTTTCGAGGTCATGGAAATCATGCACGACATCACTCGAACCATTTGGTTTGGCAAATCCAAGCACCGGCCAGATGCAGTGACCCAGTCACTTCTGCTCCATATGGCCACCCGCCATGAGATCGGGCCCCCCCGGCTGGAGCAGCTTCCCCGGGTGGTGGAGCTCATGAATAAGGATGCCTTCCTCCGGCCAGCTCCCCGGACCGCCCGGCGCCTACTGGCCGAAACTGCCCAGTTCGGCACACCGGAACAGGTGATGGAATTGGCCCGTGCCTGCACCAAGGCCGGAGCCACGCTTGCCAGTGGCGCCCCGGACCCCGATCTCTGGTACCGTCTGGCTGACGGGGAGGCCGGGGCCGTGCCCCAGCTGCTGGCCGCCATCAACGAGCACGGAGTGGATTACGTGGCCGATGGCGAGCACGTCCTTCTCACCCCGTCCGCCACGTCGGACTTGACCCCGCAACTGAGCGCCGGCCGGGCCGGAGCCGGAGCCGGAGCCAGGGCCGATGCCCTTCCCCCTGGAGGGGCTGCATCTGACGATCAAAGCAACCAGCTTCCGGGCGTCGGCCCGACTCGCTCGAACTAGAATATGCCTGGTTGGTGTCCTTCTTTTTTTTTACACCCAGTCCCCGGCGCCGCCTCCATCACCGGGTCCCTCTTTCGTTCTTCGGGAGCGGCGGGGGAAAGTCGGAAATACCGCGAACAGATGCGCGCCAGGAGGGGAGACCCCGCGAGCGCGGCTCTCCTCTCGGCACTTTGAAATAGACATATACACATACATTTACAGTACTGGGCCTGGCTCGACATCCCATCACCAAAAAGACGACCCGCAGGATAGATGGACTGTCCTGGACGGAGGAAAGGGCTCGCCATGAGGGGGCCGGAGGCTGTGTCTGTGGCGGGGGAGAGGGAGAGTCAGCCAGAAGGCCGAGGGGAGCGAGGGGGGGCGAGGGGGAGCGAAGGGGGGGAGCGAAGGGGAGGGCGAGGGGGAGGGTGGGAGGGATGGTCAGCCTGGAGTCGCCTTGTCGATCGCGTCAGAGGCCACGTCCGGCAGGGTGGTATGCGGGCCCCCAGCCGGTCTGCCACACCCCGGCCAGGGAGGATGCCCCAAGCGCGCCGCTACCACACATGGTCCGGGGGAAGATGGGAAAAACCAGATCCTCGCAACATTTTCTGCAATCTCGAATGATACTCATCGCGGTCTCCAATGTTAGAACGGTGCGTTATTCTGACAGGTTTAGGTCCAAGACTTTAGGTCGCTGGCGCAGCGTATTCCGTGCTGAGAAAAAAGCATGCATGTGGCTGCTCGTCCCCAACCGACGAGGACGACCTGGGGTCGGCGGGGCTTGGTGTGGGCTGCTTTGGACCGCCGTGGGGTCGGGGGGGGGGGGGGGGGGGGGGACGTGCAAGGGTGGATCAGAGTTGGTGTGCTCTCGGCCGTGGTCGTCATCCGGGCACAGCAGGGGGAGGCCCGAAAAGGGCCCTCCAGATCTGGCCTGGACATCCGCCACCCATGCGAGACTTCGCGCGTGCCCTCCGACGCCCGGGCTTCTGGGCTTATGCCCACGCTCCGGGATGGCTCCCAGAATCTCCCGGCTTCTAAGCTGGAGATTCCTCCCATGTGTCTGAGTGCCGCGGGTTCGCATGCATGCATGCGAGCACAGCCGGAGGGGCGCGTGTGCAGGCTCCCCCGCTTCGTCCCCCCCCCGCCAAGGACAGGAACCAATGATGGCCCAGCATGCACGTACACACGCGCGTGCGGGGAGTCCCTCCTCTCGGGAGGACCGCCCCCCCCCCAGGGCCAGCTCCCAAGAGTCGAGCCCTGTCCTCCGGGTGTGGGTATTTTCATGGGGCCGTGGGTCTGGCGCGTTGCCTCCGAGTAAGCCCTCAAGTCCCCCCGCCGCTGCCTCCCCCTGCCCCCCTCCCCTGTCGCCTGTCCCCACGCTCCCTCCCTGCCCACCCTCCCCCCCCCCCCCAGCCCACCTGCAAGAAGGTGGAGAACAGCACGGTCAGCGCCATC